CATAACATACATCAAACTACCAACTTCTTAAGCATATGGAACAAGTGCAATGTGATCACGCTCCTCGGCGCTCTTGGGTGACTGCTCCTTTGACAATTTAAAGTGATTTGCCAATGGAGTAGTCCTGGGTTTAGCATCATTAACCCTGAATCTACTCAGCACCTTCTCAATGTACAACTCTTGAGATAGATTTAAAGTGCCAGCAGATCTATCCCGAGAAATCTTCATCCCCAAAATCTATTTTGTTGGACCCAAATCTTTCATCACAAATGGTGCAGACAACCTTGTCTTCAGATTGTTAATCTCCCTCATACTAGATCCTGCAACCAACATATCATCCACATACAAGAGTAGAAAGACATATGAATCACTGTATTTCTTGAAGTAACAACAAGGATCCTTTTCAGCTTTGCAGAATCCACTCTTGGTCATGAAGGAGTCAAACTTCTTGTACCACTTCCTTGGTGCTTGCTTTAGTCCATACAAGCTCCTGGTGAGCTTGCACACCATGTGTTCCTTGCCTGGAACCACAAATCCTTCCATTTGTTGCATATAGATCTCTTTGTCCAGATCTCCATGTAAAAACGTTATTTACATCCATTTGCTCTAGATGCAAATTCTCCGACGCAACAACACTCAACAGAATTCAAATAGAGGTTAACTTCAAAACAGGAGAGAATTTTTCAGCATAATCAATACCTTTCCTTTGTGAATATTCTTTAACCACTAAACGAACCTTGAACCTTCTTTTGCCATCTGGTTCAGTCTTGATTCTGAACACCCACTTGTTCAGCAAAGCTCTCTTCGCTGCAGGTAACTCAGTCAACACCCATGTGTCGTTCTTCTCAAGTGACCTCATCTCATCATCCATGGCTTGCTCCCACTTGATCGAATCCTCCACCTGTAGGGCCTCATCAAAAGACGCTGGTTTCCCCTCATCAGTCAGCAATAGATAGTGTAATGAAGGTGAATACCTATCTGGTACCCTGATGGATCTGGATGATCTCCTTAACACCTGCTCAGGTGTAACTTGCTCCACTTCAGATTCTTCAATACTATTTGGTTGAGTATCTGCTTCGACATCACTGAGGTTACTGTTCTCCAACTCAACCTCAACTCCCACTTGCTTTGTAATCTCTAGAACCTTCTGTTCTCTGTCCTTGTACAGGACAAACTCATCAAATGTCACGTTACAATGTCTCAGAATCTTTCTATTCTTGTCATCCCAAAACCTGTAACCAAACAAATCAGAACCATATATGATGAAGTAACACTTCACAGCCTTGACATCAAGCTTTTGTCTCTTTTCTGGATCAACATGAACATAAGCAGTGCAACCAAAAGTCCTCAAGTGTGAGTACTTAAGTTCTTTTCCTGTCCACACCGCCTATGGAATCTTGAACCCTAAAGGAACTGATGGTCCCCTGTTGATCAAGTATGCAGCTGTGCTCACAGCATCCACCCAAAGTGTTTTGGGCAGCCCACAGTGTATCCTAATACTCCTTGCACGCTCATTCAATGTTCTGTTCATCCTCTCAGCAATTCCATTCTGCCTTGCCTTACTAGGAACTGTTCTTATCAATCTGATTACCTCAGCTGCACAGAATGCCTTGAACTCTGATTTGTCATACTCTCCTCCATTGTCAGACCTTAGGCATTTGACTTTCAAACCAGTCTGATTCTCAACTTCATCTTTCCACTTCTTGAAGGTTGCAAACACATCTGACTTATGCTTCAAGAAGTAAATCCATACCTTCCTGCTGAAATCATCAATAAAGGTAACATAGAATCTGGATCCTCCAAGTGATGATATTGGAGATGGTCCCCAAAACATCTGTATGGACCATTTCCAACTGCACTTTCTTTAGCTCTCTAGGAATCTTTGTGAAGCTTACTCTTTTCTGTTTGCCCATAACACAGCTCTCGCAAAGACCCATATCAACAGACTTCAGACCCTCTAATGCTTATTTTGCAACCAGCATCTTCATTTCTTTAGTACTCATGTGTCCAAGTCTGTTGTGCCACAGACATGACCCGGAAGCACCTTCAGCAACAGCGGCCATGTTTATACACCCTGCAGTGGTGTACAAGGTTCCGGATTTGGTGCCACGAGCTACTACCATAGCACCTTTCACGATCTTCCACGAACCTTTACCAAACACTGCTGCATATCCCGTGCTATCCAACTGACCAACAGAGATCAGATTTTTCTTGATCCCGAGAATATATCTAACATCCTCCAATGTCCACTGGTTTCCCGAGGCGGTCTTTATGCAAACATCCCCCTTTCCTTCAATCTCTAAGGCTTTATTGTCAGCAAGATATACTTTCCAAAATTTCCAGATTTGAAATTTTGGAACAACTCCTTGCAAGGAGACGAATGGAAATATGCACCAAAATCAAAAATCCATGATTCAACGGGGCTGTTCACACTAAGGATTAGAGCATCCCCAATGTCCTCTGCTAAATTTACAGAATCATTGTCATTTCCAAATTTCTGATTCTGTTTCTTCTTTGGTTTTGTACAGTTCATCCGAAAGTGCCCTTTTACTCCACAGTTCCAATAAGTCACGTTTGATCTGTTCAAGGATTTTCCTCGATTCTTTGATTTTGATCGACCATGTTGATTTTGGCCTTTCGTCTTACTTCTCCTCCTTCGATCAACGCTGAGAGCACTGCCCGATGAATCTCCCACTTCTCATTTGTGAATACTTTCGCTAACAACAACATCACAAATTTCATCAAACTTTAGTTTATCAGATCCACGGGAACTGCTAATCGTAGCAACAACAGTATTCCAAGACTCGGGCAGAGGTGACATCAAAATCAACGCCTTAATTTCATCTTCGAAATTAATATCCATAGAATTGAGTTGACTCACAATCATATTGAACCCATTTATATGATCAGAAACGGATCCAGTTTCAGACATCTGTAATATGAACAATCTACGCATCAAATATACCTTGTTCATAGCCGATATTTTTTCATACATGTTTGACAGTGCCTTCAACAGACCGGACGTAGTCTTTTCCTTCACTACATTGAACGCCACATTTCTTGACAAAGTCAACCGGATCAACCCTAGAGCTTGGCGATCCTTGAGTTTCCACTTCTCCTCCGTCATGGATTTCGGCTTCACCCCGGTCAACGGTTCGTGAAGATCTTTCTGGTACCGATAGTCTTCGATCTGCATCTTCCAGAAACTAAAATTGGATCCATCAAACTTCTCGATTCCAAGCTTCGAACTATCCATCTTCTGTTATCGTGTTAAATTTCCTTAGCTCTGATACCAGTTGTTAGGATCTAATTCACGCACACACACTAGATAAATGAAGAAAACAAGAACTTTCAAGAGAAAGAGATGAGAGATCTAGAGAGAGAAAGAGAAAATCCAATATTTCGTGGTAACACCCCGTGAGTAAGCTTCCACGGCGGTGAGGTATATTTATATTAATAAATCAGAGTATTTTTTATTACAGAGAATAAATAGAGAATAAATAGGAAAGCCTAAAATAGAGAATAAATAGGAAAGCCTAAAATAGAGAATAAATAGGAAAACCTAAAATTAATCAGGCTCCACTACCTAACAATAGTAATATTTACGAATAAAAATATGTTATGCTTTCGAGTGGAAGTGTGACTCTAAAAACAATTATCTCTAGAAGCTTACGTTGTTATAGTGAGCATATAGTCGTTATTAACTTAACTATTATGTCTCAACAGGAAACAACATTTGGACAAATTGGTCATGTTTCCTTATGCAACAAAGAGGAACAAGACAAAGTTGAAAGAGGAAACAAGGCTTCAATAATAGATGAACACCACTGCCTAAAATGGCTTGATTCTATATTGAAGTATTACACGAATAACACTGACCAAAATGAGCTATTTTAAAAATCAATTTACCTAATTAATACGTTTTTAATTTTTTTTACAAAAATAGTATAAACGTACTTTATGGTAACGTTTTAGGCTTTATTTGATTTTTAAAAAAAATTAATGCCGTTAAGTTAATGAACGTTACTGGCAGTAACGATTTTAAATTAAAACGTGACAATGCCCCATCCATTTCACTGAACGACGTCACTTTGTTATTAACTTTAATGTTATATGGCTGCTAAACCCTTTCACCCCTTTCACTGTAAAAAAAAAATTGGCAGCCGCCATTGTCACTTTCTAAGCCTCCATAATTCCATTTTCGATCGGTAATTTGTGGACGAAGAGGAGGCGTGAAAGAACAAAAACACAGAAAGACAATGAATGGATCAAAACCTCGTTTCGTGGATAAATGGTAGCTGTAGTTTTTCCAAATCAATTTTGGGGATTTCTTGTTATATCGAGTTTCACGATAAATTGCGGCTATCAATCTTCTGGAAAGCTTGGAATCAAGTTAATTTCCTATGTTAGAGCCTTGAGGTATGTTTTTTTCCCTTACAAACTAGTAGATGGAATGCTTGAATTTTAGAATTTCTATCTTCTCGTATTTATATCGTTTTAGTTATATAGAATAATCACTCAAGAAATTCTAATCTGCATGTTCTGTTTTTATTTTGAATTCATGCATCTTTTTGATGCAAAGAGAAACAATGAAAAGAAAAACAAAGAAAAAAAATGTTCACATGAAAATGGAAGGAAGACTATAATAGGTTGACCTGCAATGCGCTTCTACTAAAATTGAGTTTATTTTTCAATTTTTTAATAAAACATTTGGTGACAAAACATTACTTTGATTTTGTTGTTATATTTTGGACTAACAATTATATTTAATTTACTTTCATATGGATTTTTCAGTTTAATAGATATGTATATGACTGGTTATAGTGCATACCGATTGGATCCTGGTCCACTTGAACCATCGGTACTAGCTCAACAACTTACCCATAGGTCACGGGATATATGGAATGAAAGTGTTAATATGATTTTAAATACGAGGAGGTGTGATGAAAAATTTTGGGGACCTCGTAAAGAAATATCTCATTCATCCACGAGTCTTAGAAATGATTGAATTATCAAGACTATATGGTGTTTATAGATCAAATCGACCTTCTATTGATCGTAGCTTGATCACTTCACTAGTAGAGAGATGGCGTCCTGAGACTCATACATTTCACTTTAGAACGGGTGAGGCGACAATCACCTTGCAAGATGTAGAAGTGTTGTATGTCTTACCTGTGAATGGTGATCCAGTACTTGGTGATGAGTCGATAAGGACCATAGGGTATTGGCAAAATATTTGTCAAAGATTGTTAGGTTTAATTCCACGTCCTCAAGACTTCAACCGTAGTAGCCTCAAGGTAACTGCACATATGCTCGAGCAACTACAGTTACCTGACTTTACAACACAAGAAATGATCGATCAAATGGCTGGATGTTACATGTTTTGGATGATTGCTGGTATGATGATAGCAGATACATCTGACAACTATCTAAAGCTTATGTATCTTCCTATGCTCGAGGATATCAATGTAGTTAGCTCTTATAGTTGGGGTAGTGCGACCTTAGCGTGCTTGTCTCGCTTTCTCTGTAAGGCCTCACAGAGTAACCGAAATGAGATAGTTGGCTTTCTACCACTGCTTCAGGTATACTTAATAATTACATCAATTCTTTATAAATATTTCATCTAGTTTATAATATCATAATTATATATTTATATATTATGTTTAGATTTGGGCATGGGAGAGAGTAACCATCCTCAGACCTCAGGTAATAGCACAAAGGAACATCCAAAATAATTTTCTTGCTTGTTTACCTAGGGGTCCACGTTCTACTAGATGTTTTGCACATTTTAGTTGGACTGATACCACTAAGCATGTGTTGAAAGTTTTTAGGGATGCACTTTGATTCCATGACAGAGGATCAGGTATGATGTTATACTGTTTTTCTTTAAAAAATTATGTATATATTATAGTTGAAACTCATGTATTTTTCTTTATGTAGTTTATTTGGGAACCATATTCGGATGACTTAATTGAGAGTCTTCCTGATTATTGTCGAATTGAACGAGACATATGGCGTGTAAGAGATCCAATTTTTTGTTGGGATATCATTGAGGTTCACTTGCCTGATCGAGTTATGAGACAATTTGGATTAAAACAAATGATACCAACTCCATTTCTATTTGACGCCACACATTTTCACCATGATCGTAGGGGCAGACCAAATACAAATTGGAAGTTGGAGCATGCACAATGGTTGCCTTTTTGGAACCAACGACTTCAATATGTTTGTGATGCTCTGGTCAAACGTGAACCACTTTGATATGACGACCCTTACCTTATTTGGTTTAGACGCATTACTCGTCTTGTTATTGGTAATCCTACTCAGCGTCCTCAACAACAAGAAGGTTATGTGCCCAATTGAACGGCATATGAAACAATGGTATCTATTTGATTTAGTGTGTTTGTGATTTATCTTTTGAGGATAATATTTCTTCTTCTTGAAAATTGTGACTTGAAAAATTGTTACCTATGTTTTTTCTTAAAAAATATAAAATAAGTGCTTTAGTTTGATCTTTGTTTGAGCATCTGTTAGAAAAAAGAATGGAAAATGTTTGTAAGAAAAAAAATTGATCTTTGTGTAGGTGCGTCATATTTATTCCATGGTTGATAGAGCAAAAGCCCTTGGTAATCAGCCATCAATGGAGGATTTATACATATTTCGTGCAATGGTCCGAAATGAAGGAGAAAAGTGCTTGACATATGTGCACGAGGCTACTAGTATTAATGTACAAGCCGATTATAGAAGAGATGAGGTACATGATGATCATTTACATCATCCGGTTCGTAGGCGAGGAAAAGGTGGTGTTGCCGGTAGGAGGGCTCGTGCTGTTGAGAAAGGACGAGTCTCCGAAGATGATCACACAACTTGTGATTTTGGTTCCATTTCAAGGGGCCAAACTCAAGAATTCACTCCCAGGGCATCAGGTATGACATATCAACCAACAAATACTGATATTATTCCATACATGACATCACAAATATTAAGGAATTCTAGTATTTCATCACTTGAGAATGTGTTTGGTGGTTCTAGACCTCAACATTTTGAGAATGCCCCCAACTTTAATTCATCACCTAGGCTGCCAATGTCCATTGAGACCCCTGGTGTTGTTAATCATTTAGAGGACTCCAACGATGAAGTGGGGAATGCAAACGAATGTGGTGAACCATCAATGAAGGAGAAGCGTAGGATTTTTCGTAAGTGTTGTGGGACTGGTACTATTAACATTTTTATTTTATTTTTTTAACATAAATTCTCCTCTGTTTATTCGAACAACTGAAAATTATTCTTGTTTGTCAGGGAGTCACTATCTTTACCAGCATGGTAAAAAAAAAGCAACGAGAAACAAAGAACTGTAATTGAGAGGTTTCAGGTATCCAGATGTGGTACTCCTTGTTAAATTATTGTTTCTTCCATGTTTGGAGTATGAGGAAATTTAGTGTTTTGTGTGTGTCTAAGGAATCAATCATATTTTCTTACAATGACAGTTCTCTTTTGGTTTGAAACTTTGTAAACTCGAGATCTTTCAAGAAGAAACGTTCTAATAGTTGTACCAGATATTCTTTCTAACAGTTTATGAAGAAAAGGATGACACATTCAATAATGTTATATATGAATCTTTATACATATGCTGGGATAGTGCTGATTTTTTTTATAAAACAATATCCTAGCCATATTAGAATCTCTCGAACCCTATAAGACTTATCGCTTATGTATAGGCTTTTATATATGCAAGAAGAACTTTGACATAACTCTCAGATTATTAAGAGAATTTTTTGATCCGAGTTATTTTAATGTTAGTGTCATTTCATCACTACATAGAAATTGGAAAACTAATTTGCATTGATTTTTAGCCTTTTAGAAACTACAACAATAGTAATAGCTACCAAATCTGAAATGCTTCAATTGTTCCGAGTTAATTTAATGTTTGTGTTGTTTCATCTCTCAATAGATATTGGAAAATTGATTTGCGTCGAGTTTTAGCCTTTTGGAAAACTGAAATTCTTTAGTTTTTCCAAGTTATTTGAATGCTTGTGTCGTTTCTTCTCTGGAAAAAAAATGAAAAAACTGTTACTCTTTCAGTTTTAGCCTTTTAGATATCTTGGAAATTGTTGCTTTTTGTGTGCTAGCATATATAAGTTTTAGAACCATTGTACTCTACTGCTACTGTACATCAAGTTTCCATCCATATACAGAATCTCTGTGCCTAAATTCTAGAAAATAAGAGATTTCAGTTGCACCTTGATCTAGTTTAGAGGATAAAGTAACTCGCTAAATCTGAATAATTAGAATTGCTTAGCAGACCATTGCCTTCTTTATCTCCTTTTAATTTTCTATACGTACAGTTGCAGGCACACAATTTGAGATTGTTTGCCTTCTACAAGGATTAATGATGAGAAGAAAACAATGATAACTTGTTTGTTTCCCCTGCTACAATAATAACCTGTTGGTTTATAGTTGAAAGAGTGATATGTATCATGCTTGTTTAGTTACTCTACAAGGACTTGTTACCCTAAAACATAATATGAATCTTCTTGCTGGACAATTTCTCCATTTATGCTAGCTTGTGCCACTGAGTTTGTGCTTTCAGTATAGATTGAGATTCTTGGTGAATGTAACTCGTCAATGTTTTCTTAATCATTTTTTCTTAGGTTGGTGCAGCTTGTTGATATTCTGGATAACCCTTGGTGAATAGTAGAGATTTTTTGTGAAGAATGAAGCTACTAGTTATTATTTTGTAAAGCAACATGTTCTATGAATACATGAATGTTTAAATTATTTTCTATTTAGTTTGTGTTTTTCAAGTATTCCTTAATGTAACTTCAAGTTTGTGAAAAGTGATGGGATAATGCCCAAGTACCCCCTCAACCTATGCCCGAAA